CTTGATGTAGAATAGAGTGATATTTTATCAAATAAGAGTTCCCAGCAGCAATCAGATCATCTATTAATTTATAAGTTCCTTTTTTTATATCCTTTTATTGGTACATTTTAGGTATACAATATAATGACATTCATCATTGGAGATGTGCACCTTTACATACTCTCTTGGTTCTTATTTTTTCCCCCTTCCCCTGCCCTCCAACCACTCCATCCCTCCCTATTTACAAAGACTTTATTTCCTTTTTTTCATTTTCTCATATTAATTCCATTCCCTTCTTTAATTTCCCCTACCCCTCCCACTTCCCCTTCCCCTTTGCCCCTTTTCTTCCTATTTCACATTATCTATTATACCTTTTAGTCCTTATTTACACTTTCAGTTTCTCACACTAGAGAAACTGTTCAGTATTTATACGTGTGTCCTATTTATTTCACTTAAGAGTATCATCTCAATGTGCATCCATTTTTAGCAATAAATGTCTCTAATTTCTTGCTTTTTATGGCTGAGTAGTACTCCATTTTATTTAAAAAAAAACCTCACATTTTCTTGATCCAGTCTCCATTTGATGGACATTTGGGCTGTTTCCAAGTTTCAGCTATTACAAATTGTGCTGCTATGAACATGGGTGCACATATTATCACTGTGGTATGATTCTTTTAATTCTTTGGGGAAGATACCCAGCAGGGGAATAGCTGGGTCATTTTAAATGGGACTTCCAGTCCTAGTTCTTTGAGGTATCTCCATACTGATTTCCACAGTGGCTGCACCAGTATACACTCCCACCAGCATTGTAGCAGGGTTCCTCTTTCCCCACAGCCCCGCCAGCATTTGTTATTGGTTGATTTCATGATAGCAGCCATTCTTTCTGGAGTGAGGTGGAATCTCAGCGTTGTTTTCATTTGCATCTCTCGAATGACCAGTGATGTTGAACATTTTTTCATTTGTTTATTTGCCATTTCTACTTCTTTGTCTGAGAAATGTCTGTTCATTTCAGATGTCCATTTTTGGATTGGGTCTTTAAATTTGGGAGGTCTGATTTTTTTTTTTTAAGTTCTTTGCAGATTCAAGATAGTAGACCTTTGTCTCCTCTTTTTTTTCTTAAATAGCCATCACCAGGGCACCATGAGTAGCTATACTAGATTTGTTGACAAAGGTTAAGAAAATTGTCTTCATGTAATTTTTACAACCTCATGGAAATCAAGAGATTTAATTGTGTTTTTTAATGGCACCAAAGAAGCCATTTTTTCAGTGACAATATATTCATTAACAGTATGTCTGTGAAAATGGCGAGTTGAGCCAAGAATATGTATTGTCAGAGCATAAACTTTGAAATTATCAGCTTTACTCTGCAAATCTCTTTCAGTAGATTTTCCTATTTCTTCAGTTCATCTGCCTATAGTCTGGTGAGATAAACTGATTTTAGAAAAATTTTTTATAATTAGGAAAAATGTCTGCCACACTCTTCTTACATTATTTAATACATTCACGATCTGTAAATGGTTTTGATTTTCTTTGCAATTAGATTTACTAATAAATAACTAGCTTTTACAGTAGTCTTATAACTTTTTAAAAAGAATTGTGTTGATTTCAGGTCTGTTTATTTCTTTAATTCTGCTATTTTGTCTTTACAGAATATTCCTTGAGATTAAAATGATTAAAATGAATAATTGATAATTTGAATAGGAAGAAAAGGTCCAAAGGGGTGGGGAAAGGAAAAATTATGAGAAAAGGAAAAAATGGAAACAAAGTCTTTGTAAATAGGGAAGGGTGGAGGGGAGGAAGGGAAGGCAAGGGAATGGGGAAAAAAATAAGAACCAAGATACATCATGTACATGTACCAAGCACCCAATGATAAATGTAAATGTATTATATACCTAAAATGTACCAATAAAAGAATTTAAGGTAAAACAAAGTGAAGATAGAAGGCAAAAACGGAAACAAAGCTTCTGTACATGGGATAAAATAAAATTTCTTAAAAATTGAATAAAGAATGTAGGTTCTGGAGTCTGTGCCTGGGCTCAAGACCAGGCACCACAGATCCTAATTGTGGTCATGTTCTTTGTGCCTTGCTGCACATGTGTGAAATATGAGAAATACTAGTACCTACATTAAAGAATTCTGAGGATTAAAAAAAACACAAAATATTCCTTGATATCCATGGAATTTAACAGTATGTTTTTTGCATATGATATCTTTCTTTTGGTTACCAGGAATTGAACTCAGGACTTTGCCCTTGCCAGGCAGTTGGGGTGCCCCTGAGCTACATCCCCAGCCCTGCATATGATGTCTTTTCAAATTGTAATCTTTTCTGCAATGACATGTTTCTGTACAAATTAAACACGGTGCTCATCTGTCTGCTTTTTTGGTTAAATACTCTGAATATTCTTCCCTTTACCTAAAATTTTTTTTAGGAAGAGATTCCCCTTCCCCGTCTACCCCGATACTGGGCCTTTACACTGAGCTACATCCCACCCCTCCAACCCCCCCTTTTTTTGGGTACTGGAAATTGAACTCAGGACCTTGTACTTTCAAGGCAGGCCCAATGCCACTGACCTAAATCCCCAGCTCCCCACTCCCTTTTTGTTCTTGTTTTCTATTTTGAGACAGGGTCTAAATTGCTGAGTTGCCCAGGCTGGGCTCCAACTTGTGATCCTCCTGCCACAGCCTCTCAATAGGCTGAGACTAAGCATGAACCACCGTGCCCAGCTTCTGTTTTCTTCTGTGAAGCCATGTTGAATTTTTTAAATTAATAAGTAAATTAATAGTATTACTCTAGTATTAGCCTTGTAGTGTATGTAATTATACCAGTATCATGAGCACAACACTATTGTATACATTTTTATACTAACTGTACCACAGCTGCTGAAAAACTTAGTATTTTATGAAATAATGCAAGTTGAAGTTTAATAAGAGAATGTACATGTTTACTTAATAATAAGGACCTTCACAGGCACACATAGCACATAGATAGGTGAAAATATTATCATCAGTAATTGGTTTGTTTTACTCAGGAAGTCACACAAGCACATATAATGTCTGAGTCATCCTGGCTTCAACTGTGGGAAGCAAGAGTTAGCACTTCATTGTGCTTTCTTCTGCACAGCATTCCATTGTTAGCTATTTGGTCTTTGCTTGAGTTCAAATTGTGAAAAATACCACTAAAAATCACATAATGATGTTAAACAATGTATCATCGTGTAGAACCACATTACCAGCTGCCCAGGGCTGCATGCAGCCTGTAGACCATGGATTGGATACTCCTGCCTTAGCTAATTTTCTGCCTCAATGAATAGTCAACATAGAAATAAGGAAGTGTTTTTCAGAACATACGTTGTGTCACAATGCCATGCACTGAGAATTTATAAATGAGTAAGATATTGCCTCTGCTCCTAGGACAGTCTAAAGTTACAAATCTGTAAATCAGAAATTACAGTTAGGTAAGAAATGTCAGTAGACAAAGCAGAAATGTTTTGAGGCACTCCTGAGGGAAGGAGATTCCTTCTTTTCTGTTTTGGGGTGCTGGGGATTGAACCCTGAGCCTTGTGCATGCCAGGCACACACTCTTTCACTGAGCTATGTCTTCAGCCCAAGAAGATGGTTATCATTAGACTTTTTCTTTTTTAAGAGAAAATTTATTGAGGACTAGGAATGGAGAATAAGAATAGCTCCTGAGAGACAGGAGGGGTCTCAAATGGGTTGCCCTGTCATTGGACTTTAAGAAGGACTCATGAAGTTTGCTCAAGAAGAGGTAGCCATCACGAAGCAGCCACTGTTTTACAAAGAAGAAATCACAAGGATTGCCAGTAACTTACAGTGCTGTCAGTATATGCTGTTTAGCAAGGTTTGTAAGAGAGATTGGGTCTATAATTTTTCTTTGTTTTGATGTCCTTGTGTAAATTACGAAGCTTATTCTGGCCTCTTAAATGTTGGGAAATATTTCTTTGTTGTCCTCTGGAAGATGTGGTATCTTATAAGATTGATGTTATTTCTTCCTTATTTGAGCCTAGGGTTTTTTCTGGTCAGTGTGTGCTGTATTATAAAATTTTAAGAGGAACTGACCAAAAATTTCAATTTGAAATGGTGAATATGTTTCTCAAACAAGATTCTGTCATTCCTACATTGTATCAGTGGCAAAAGTTCACTAGTATAAAAATCCAGTCGGTTTCTCACCAGCAGATAGTGTATTATACATTTAAGTAAAAAGAGTTGACTACCCAGACTGCATGTTGGGTTCAGTGGTGTTGAATGAGACAAATATCAGATGCTTGTGGACTCATTTGATATGAACATAGATCATTTTAATTGATTTGCTTTATTAGGGTGATATGTGCAGTGAAGTATAAGAGTTGTTTTTATGAGTTTTCCTGCTCAAAGTATTTTGTCTTAGTTTTTGAAGATGAATTTTTAATTTTATGTATTTATTTATTTTTGTAATATGTAATGTGAAGTCATACCTTCATTCTTAGTTGCTTTGAAACTCATTGAATTGGTACTTGACATTTTTGACATGAAAATTGTATCCTGGTACTGATCATTTGTTTGATACTTGCCCACACAAGCTAAAAGTTGTTGCTGTCAGTTGCCTTCCAGCCAAAACAGTTTGATAGTCATGGTTTTTGGTACTTGTAGCACTTCCTGGAATCTATTAGTAAGTACTGAGGGTACCACTTTATTTACATGATTCAAACTTCAGAAGTTAAGAAAGTCTGTCTTGAACTCAGTGTTTCAGTCACCCAGTTTTCCACCTTCAGAGCCAACCAATATTAGTATGCTTCTTATCTATTTAATTCATACTTGCTGTAGCTGTTTCTTTTATTACTGCCTTTCATCCAGTAACAGTGATGACAAGAAGTTAATGTGACCATCATACTATTGATGGATTTTTAGGTTATTTTTAGTCATATTACCAAAAACCTACATTTAACATTCTTGTTTGCTTCTTAATAGCTGTTACCCTTTTCTTTAACTAGATTTTAAAGGCATATCTTTTTGCTTTATTTCAGCCATGAGCCAGAGAATCAGTCAAAGTGCTCCAGTGAAACAGCCACCGCCCTTGGCTTCCCAGAGCCCACAGGGAGGTGTTGTGGGTGGTAGCAACTCCAGCCAACAGCATCAGATGCGTCTCCAACAACTGCAGATGGAGAAGGAAAGACTTCGGTTGAAACAGCAAGAGCTGCTTCGGCAGGTGAGGCCACAGGTTAGAAACCAGCCTTCTACTTTGGGGGTTTGTTTTCCTTTGTGAAGTTGGGCAGATTTCATTTTAGCATTATTAGTTACAGGGAAATATTTTTCTAAAATTAGAATGACGCACAAGCATTCTGTCTGGTTTTGTCCTTGTCTTAGTTTTTTGATTGGCTATTGATCAGATGGGCTATAACTTGTAAAATCCTGTATCTCAGAGCTGTTTTGGCCATGGTCATTGCACTTGAGGGAAAATTGAAGGAAGCAAGAATACTTCCTCACATGTATGTGAGTGAAACTGTGTATATTACTGTGTTTCTGAGGATTTTGCTAATGGGGATACTCTACAGCATCTCTTGGGGAAAAACATCTTTAAATGAATTATTTGTGTGGGAGGAATATACCATGTGACTTTTCTTGAATGGCAAATATGTTTCAGTATTGCCAAATCTTAATAATTCTCATTTAAAATAAGAGTTATACCCAAATAATGAGTTATACCCAAATTTAGGAGATCTCAATATGTCTTAAAATTACCTGTTTTTTGGGCTAGGGATTTAGCCCAGTGGTAGAGCCATTGACTACCATGTGCAAGGCCCTGGGTTCAATCCCCAGCATGGGCTGGGGAGTGGGATTACCTCTTTAAGAATGTTTTTTCTTACTGGGAAGGGTAGTATGCAACAGTCAGTAAAGAGTTTAAAACCCTTTATAATCATTGCCATACGTATTCTTTCAGGAAGAACTATTTATTGGTCTTTATATTGAATAAAAATAGATAATCTCATCTGAAAATTCTTGCTTTATCTTGTTTCAGAATATTTAAGATAATGTTCAGATATTTGGAATATCTTAAGCAGTATATTTCTCAATTTTTATATAAAATTTTTTGAATAGATAATAGAAACAAATAGTAGTGAAAGTGTGTAAAAGTATACTGGAAGGAAATAAAATGTTCTTTTCCGTTTCCTGAGTTCTTCTCTGTAGAGGTAAAGTCACTAAGTTTCTTGCTTTTTGTTTTTCCTCCCAGAAATATTGTTGACAAAAAAAAAACACATATCTATATTGTTTACCCCCCTAAATCATAACATACTAAATACAGACTTTTTTTTTTTTTTTTGGTACCGGGGATCGAACTTGGGTCCTTGCGCCTGCACAGCAGGCGGCGAAACCACTGAGCTAAATCCCCAGCCCTAAATATAGACATTTTAAAATCAGTTGTTCAGGGCTGCCGATTTATCTCAGTGGCATCGTGCCTCCCTCACAAGTCCAAGGTCCTAAGTTCAATCTCTGGTACCAGGAAAAAAAAAGCAATTATACTCTACATTTTTGTTAATAAGGGTATAGAAAATTAAAGATACATTTTTTTAAAGGACTATTTTTAAGTGTCACTTGAATATACTTGAAATTCCACAAAGTCAGTACTGTCTCTTAACTCTGATTTGGGATATGAACATCTGGTACCTGAGGAATTAAATACATTCATGGAATCTCAAACGGGCTCACCTTCAAATTGTTTGCACACTATCAGTGTAATTCTAGTGTGGTTGGCTTTAGCGGTGAGCCCTAATGGAGAGTAAGAATTTGGGCTAGCATGTGATATCAGGACAAGGTCTTGAAAGAGATGCTTCTTCATCTGCATAAAGAAGATGAAAAGTGAAAGCATAGTAATATGGTTTATTGTACCTCTGACTGACTTTCTACCAAATGTAGAGGAAAGGTATTTTTCACTTAGATAAAACTGTATTGTCATAACAAGGTAACACTGTCAATAATTTAATTATGTGGCTGCTAGAAAAGCATTTAAAAGTACGTTTTACACAGCCTGTTTTCATTGTTTGCCTTTCATTTTGTTGTGACTGAGTATTAATTGATCTAAGTTGATCTAAGTAATGCAGGTCTCAATTTCAGAACTATCAAAATCAGGAAACCTTAATAAGAAATAGTTATTTAATTGGCAACGTTGAGGTCTTGCTGTTTCTAAGGTAGTTTGAAGTTTAGAAATGGGCCATTTATTTTGTTGTATACCATAGATTACCCTGTTTGGTTTTTGTTTGTTTTTGGTGGGCAGAATGCTGCTACTTATAAAACTCTTCATTCTAAAGAATTTTTCTAAATCTTATTCTCGTTCTTACTCTGGGTGATGGGTCCTGGACAGAATAGCTTCACTTTCTTTAAAGGTAACCTCTTTGTTTCTTTATTGCCTACTGTGTTGTCTTTTTTATACTGAAGTGAACAGGTCTGTTCTATTCTTGTACTAATCACCTAGTTTTAAGAAGTTTTTGTTTTTGTTTTAGCAGTCTGTGTAATTTTAGTACATCTCAAGTTGTTTGGCTTCCTTTGAACTTCCACTGACAGTATTTCTTATCAGTGAAACATCAAAAATGTTACTTATTTCATCTAATACTTAGAAGCAAAGAACCTACCTGACTGTTATCAAAATTTTAGTCCCATGCTGTCCTATCCTCAATGCTTTTAAAAACTTCTGAGGTTTTAGTTTTGTTATGTGGTGACTCCATTGGCTCTTGTCTTCTTCAGTCTGCTGCTTCTTGGGTAGCTTGGGAATTCTGTGCTATGGTGATATGTCTGGATACAATTTGTAACTCAGCCTACACAGCCAAACTATGTGGCTTAAAGTAATTTTTATCCATCTTATTTTTTACTCTTAGGCAATGCGGAATATCAATCCCAGCACAGCAAATTCTCCAAAATGTCAGGTAGGCTCTTATATGATGTTTTAGCAATGGGGAAAAAAAGGTATTAGGAAAGCAAAATACTTGTATTCCAGGATCCTGTCCTCACTGAAGATTAGCCAGAGTATAACTTTGAGTCATCTTTCTACCAAGACAGTTAACATTACTTTTCCTATAGATCTGCACTTTCTCCTCCCTTCCCACTCCTCCCAGAGTTTCTAGTATTCAATTTGACTGTGTGGAGGTCTTTTTAATCCATATTTGAAGTGTATTGTGTGTCATTTGTACATCCTGTCAGTGTCAAAGTGTGTCTAATTTTTATGTGTATAGTCTAAAATTATGGGGTTTTTTTGAGACAGGGTCTTGCTTTGTAGTTCAAGCTGGCCCTAAACTCACTATGTAGTCCAGGCTGGCCTTGAACTCTCAGTGATCCTCCTGCCCCACCCTCCCAAGTGCTGGGTTTATAGGTGTGTGCCACCATGCCCAGCTAAAATTTTTTTGTTGTTTTTTTTTCCTCTGTACCAGGAATCAAAAGTCTTTAATGTTTTAAAGGAATTAATAGAACAGTAGCAAAAGATAGTACAGATTATTTACTTGGGTAGGCTAATTTTTGAAATCTTTGTCAGAGTCATGAGACTGAGGAAAAGAATTCTTTCTAGTGGATATTTCAAAGGAAGAATACCAAAACTGTCAGAAGAGGGAACCTTCCACCTGGATGGTGTTTCAGGTTTCTAGATTGGCATTTCTCCCTGATGAATACCAGGGAGCACAGGTTGTGAAGGTATCTGGTATAGATGGAAAGATTGTGGCCGTTTTTCCTGTCTAACATAGACTCCTATATGACTCATAAGAATTGCATTCTTGAAATTTAAAAAATCCCAAAAAGGTCCAAAAGATACAAAGAAATTAGCAAAGCTTTGAAGAAATTATCTTTCTCTTGGAGAGGCAGAAGCAACCATGAAACACCTTATATTCTATGTAGCTCTTTCCACAGTAAACTAAATAAGTGCATTGCTTTAGAATCAACCATAGAAGTGGGAGTTGACAGGATTCCACTTGTCCATTGGAGCACTATGCTAATGAAGTTCAGTATAGTCTTCAGAGAGATCAGTTAACTTTGTAATAAACTCTGTTCTTTATCTGTCTTATGAATGCCTGTTTCATCAAAACACAAAGTAAGGGAGTAATGTAAGTCATCTTCACTAAAGTAGAACATAGACATTGTTATGATGAGTGACACTAATACCACATTTGACCGTGAGTGAAGGGCAGCATAGTATTGAAGTCCTATAATGTGAAGACAGTTTTTCTTTGCTTTTTCTCTGAATTATTTGTCAAAGGAAGCAAATATAGGAGTAGAAATTAACTTCTATGATATTTGAGTTCAAGTAAAAAGCCAAAGATAGATGTTGAATTACCATGCCCTCCCCCATTGAGATCTTCAACCTTAAATTAACAAATAAATGCTTTTTAGATGACTTAGTATTTGAAAATAATTGCTGTTATTAAAATTATCATCAGGAGTTCTTACTTTTTTTAAATAGTAAAACTTTAGAAAAGGTGAGGCCAGGTTTAGTATGTGCGAGGCCTTGGGTTCATTCCCTAGCATCCCCCGCAAAAAGGAAGAAAAGATGAAGTGTATAAGTAATAAAATTTTAGCATACTAAATTTGCAGATTTGCTTATTTAAATTTACATAGGGCAGAGCAAAAATCCTGTGATACTTTTTGTTGTTGTTGTTTTGTTTTTGCTTTGCCTTGTTTGTAGTATCAAGGCCTTGTGCATGTTTTTTATTGCTGAACTAAATCCCTACCCCTCTTTATTAGTTTTTTTTACATTTTGAGACAAGATTTTGCTAAGTTGCCTATGTTGGCCTAGAACTTTTGATACTCCTGCCTTAACCTCACAAGTAGCTGGGATTAAAGATTTGCACCATGCCCAGTGAGAGACATATTTTTAAAAATTTGCTTTGCATATGATGCACATTAAAATAATTAATGTTCATGTGTTTTGTTTTGTGGTGCTGGGGATTGAACCCAGGGTTAGCACATGCTAGGCAAGCATTCTGCCACTAAGCTACATCCTCAGCAATTTTTTTTTTTTGTACCAGGGATCGAACTCAGAACCTTGTGCTTGTGCAGCAGGCACCAGAACCACTGAGCTAAATCCCTGGCCTGGCAATTTTTAATTGTCAACATATTTAATTGACACAGTTGTGAAAATGTCATTAAAAGTATGAACTTTCAATAGGAATAAATTTGAAGTAGCGTTCAGTTTCATGAAAACTGGTGGTATTTAGAAAAGCTATATGCGTTTTTCTTATGTTTTCTGTATGATCTTAAGGTAGATTTTGTAGGACAGAAAAGTGTGGCAACTTTCTTCAACAATCTTAAGGGTCATGGGAGACACCCCTATAACAAAAAGCAACATGGGGCCAGGGATGTAGGTCAGCAGCACAGCGCCTGCCTGGCAAGCGTGAGGTCCTGAGTTTGATCCCAGGTACCAAAAACAAACAAAACAAAAGCATAGTATATGTAATCCAAATTTTGTGTGATACAGGAACCTTCAGAAATGAAAACTGAAAGATTCCTGGAAAACTAAATTCTTACGCTGAGGTTTAATGAAGAATGGACAGCCATGTAGAATCTGGTTGGACAAAAGGGTGTGGCCTAATGTTAGACTATAAGGAAACCCAGCGTGACCTGACAGATTCTTCTATGGTTCTCAGCAAAGCATTCTTTCCCCCCTGGATATAGAGCAGGACCCCTTCTGAAATGAATTCTTAAGATCTAGTACGTAGGTCAGAGAATTTCTTTATGGCCACTTCTAACGTAGAAAGGCAGGGTGAGGTTAGAATTAATATTCTTAGGTTATATGGTTTGCTTTGTGGGAGAGGGGTTCTGTTTGCTATAACTGACCATGGGGAAAAGGAATTCTGTTTTCTCCGGTCTGCCTTTGGGAAGAAAGGGAAAGTAAGAAAAAAGGTCAGGAGAGCGTCAGAAAGAGACTTAGCTTCTAAGACCCTTCATGCTCAGAATGCCAAAGCAACATGCTTTGGGATGTTTTTTTCTGAGTCCCACCAGAAAAGTCAGTAAAGCTTTAAACAGTGTTCACAAGGATAATCCTGAAAGCACCTTCCAGTCTGAAAGAACAGGATGTATAAAGGCATATAACTCAGTATTTGAGTACCAGGCACTGTTTTTTCCAAGGTCTTTTTGTTTTGTTTGGGTTTTTTTTAAACCTTTCTAGTAGAAGTTAGTGCAGCTGAGTTAACAAACAGCAGTGATATCAATGCCATTAGTTTATTTATATACCTCATATGTGGTGGGATGTGGGAAGGTACCAAACCTCAAAGTTTTTTAATTACTAGGTTCAAAAGCTGTTAAAAACTTTGGTAGGATTAATAAATCTGTTGTAGGATTCTGTAATCATTTACAGTAATGTCACTATGGATGAGGTTCATGGATAATCCTGAGATAGGACTTAAAGGTAAAAACTTCGAAAAATAAAACTTTAAACCTTGTGTGGTGACACACACCTGTAATCCCAGTGTGCTGGGAGACTGAGGGAGGAGGATCACAAGTTCACACCTAGCCTAAGGCAACTGGTGACTTAGTGAGACTCTCTTTCAAAAATAAATAAAAATTAAAAATTTCTAAAAGGGGTAGGGATGTAGCTCAGTACAGAGGCCCTGGGTTCAATCCCCACTACCAGAAGAAAAAAGCAGGGAGGGGGGCGCATTTAATGTGCCTTCTTAGGTAAATGTGAAAATTTATTAATTTGTTAACTGTATTTGTGGGATTTTGTAATGATTTGTCCTTATAAAAGCTTAAAAAGGGCCGGGGATTTAGCTCAGTGGTTTCACTGCCTGCCGCGCAAGTGCAAGGACCCAAGTTTGATCCCCAGTACCAGAAAAAAAAAAAGCTTAAAATTTTAATTTCATTTTAATTCATGATTTTTATGTTTCAAAAACTTCTATTCTCAAAACAAACTTTGAAACTATAAACATCTTTGTGAGAATAAGCATAATAGAATAGAATAATAGAATATTATTATTAAATAATATAATAGAATAATTATAGATAATTATTATCTATCAATTATAGAATAATTTTCTAGTCAAATTTTTCTTACACATCCACGCTCTCCTGTAAATTGGAGAGACCTTTGGAGTGGGTTTGGAAATACATTCCAGCTTGTTTCAAGCCTTTGGAGAAATAGTTTGAAGATAGTCTGAGTGGGAATGTTTTTGCCTTCTTGTGTTGAAGAATGGTGTTTAATATGTAGCATTGCCTTTTACTGCACCTATAAGAACAGGTCTAAACTCTACAGCTTGGCTTGTGTGTCAGTAGTTTCTCTCTCATTGATTCTAGGTAAGCAGCTGTCCCACTAGTGCGAATCTTTGCCATCTGCCTTGTGTCTTACCAGTTAAGGTTCTCCACTCTCCCTTATACAGCCTAGGTCAGAACTCCTCCCCAAGTGTATTCATCACAAGTCCTGAAACTAATCACAAAATAAAAACAAGATATATATATATATAGTAATCTTAGCAGCCAGTGGAATTCAAATTTAGATGGTCAAAAGTATGATACAAAATTATGTTTGTTTCTGTGCAAATAATTGTTTCAGTCTTCATAGAAGTTATTGTGTCAGTATTTTACAGCTAGTGAATATTATGTAGTTGGCATTCTTACGGGCACTAATAAGTAATATATCATGTCAGTTACTGGTTTAATAAAAGAGTACAGTATTACTGTACTACAGTATTACTGTTGAGGATATTGGACTACACTGTTACCCCTCAATAGTAAGGAGGTTTAGACGTCCACAGTTTTACTCAGAGCAAAATAATGCTACTGTTCAGAGCCGTGTGAAAACAATTGCCAATCTTTTTCCCCTTGAGTTTAGTAATAACAAAGAATTTTTTCTCTGTTCAAACTGTTTCATTTTAGCAGTTGCCAAAACAGCTATTTCAAAATCCTTTTAACATTCTTTTCAACATTATCTCTCCTCTTTGAAGTCTTA